TGTAGTACCTCTGAGTCTGGAGAAGAAGATTTTTGAAATATTGGATAATTTTCCCTTTGGGGCCCCGCCCTGGCCCCAGGGGTTGGGGTAGGAATCCCAATTTTACAATTTTGAAGCCTCATCTACCAAGGATGATTCTGACCAAGTTTGAAAAAAATCCATCCACTGGTTCTTGAGAAGAAGTTGAAAATGTAAAAGTTTACGCACGACGCACGACGCACGACGGACGAAAAGCGATTGGAATAGGTCACTTGAGCAAAGCTCAGGTGACCTTAAAAAAGCACCGACCAACGGCCAGTACCTGGCGACTGCGCCACGTAGGTCTCGTACCCGTGAGCCAATGGTGGAGGGCTAGTAGTAGCAGAATGACAGATGCCGCGGCCCCTACATGGACATGTACATTTGTACAATCAAACCTATTATTTCTATTTAATGGCTGCATTAGATAGTTTTTTTGGGTATTTTTTATGCTACTGTTTTAGTCTTTTGACGTATACCTGATTTCTGATATATTTATTTTGACGTATACCTGATTTCTGATATATTTATTTTGATGTATACCTGATTTCTGATATATTTATTTTGACGTATACCTGATATCTGATATATTTATTTTGACGAATACCTGATTTCTGATATATTTATTTTGACGTATACCTGATTTCTGATATATTTATTTTGACGTATACCTGAGAAATTCTGATATATTTATTTTGACGTATACCTGTTTTCTCAAATATTTATTTTGATAGCCAAATACAATTTCCAGTAGATACAAATGGTATACATGTCTTTAAATTACTAACGAGTCCAAACAAACTCGTCAATGTGATGTAGTCTGCTAGTGTATATCTTATGTACATGTATCAAATAACAACATGCTATCCAGACACACTATACCACCATGTTAGACACTAAATTAAAACATATTAAATTAATTAATTCTTTGATTAAATTTTTCGTAATCTGAATCATATCACAGAAAGTCTCTATATGATATGATGTGGGTGTGTCTAGGTCCTTAATTAACAGGGTTTATCAGTAAATACCAGGGTGTGGTACACAGAGCTCCCTCTAGTGGTGACACGTTGTGTGTGGTACACAGAACTCCCTCTAGTGGTGACACGTTGTGTGTGGTACATAGAACTCCCTCTAGTGGTGACACGTTGTGTGTGGTACATATAACTCCCTCTAGTGGTGACACGTTGTGTGTGGTACACAGAACTCCCTCTAGGGGTGACACGTTGTGTGTGGTACACAGAACACCCTCTAGATGCGTTACATTATGTGTGGTACACAGAACACCCTCTAGAGGTGACACGTTGTGTGTGGTACACAGAACTCCCTCTAGTGGTGACACGTTGTGGGTGGTACATATAACTCCCTCTAGTGGTGACACGTTGTGTGCGGGACACAGAACTCCCTCTAGTGGTGACACGTTGTGTGTGGTACACATAACACCCTCTAGATGTGTTACATTATGTGTGGTACACAGAACACCCTCTAGTGGTGACACGTTGTGTGGTACACAGAACTCCCTCTAGATGTGTTACATTATGTGTGGTACACAGAACACCCTCTAGATGTGTTACATTATGTGTGGTACACAGAACAACCTCTAGTAGTGGTGATACATTATGTGTGGCACACATTGTGTTGTTAATCTATAGAAGATGCACTCCATCTGGTTTTTTATTACTTATATATATATTAAATATATTTTTTGTAGCGAAGAGTTACATTGGAAAAAAAATCTCTCCTTCTAGGAAATTCAATCCTGAATCTCTTGTAAAAAAAGCAGGAAACTTATCCACCGGCTGCTGGCTATGATATTTGATGTATAAAGAAGTTTCTGCTACATGACTGAATATTTCAAACGTATGATTGTCTTTATGTAAATAAAGAGGAAATTAACATGACTTTAACAGGAAAATAGTTTTGCAAGGTAGAGTATAAAAGTTCTGAAACAAAGTTTTAACAAAGTACGACAGGAAGTTGTATCTAGTAAAAGACAATTTACTTCGATTGTTTCAGTGATGAATAGTTATATATAAAGTATAAGGTAAGAGACCAGACTGCTCAGTAGGTCTTAATTTGTGGCTGTACAGATCTAGAGCAGGCAATAGACCGGACGTGTTTCAGGGTGTGCTTGAGACAGGATCTGTAGAGCAAGTCTGTAGACCAAGATTCCAACTGTCAGCGTATTGAACAGAGTAAACTTACAGCCAAGGGCCATATACCAAGTCTGAGCCAAGCAACAGTTCTACAATCACCACACAGGTACACTATAAACCTACAGCCAAGGACCATACCAAGTCTGAGCCAAGCAACAGTTCTACAATCACCACACAGGAACACTATACACCTACAGCCAAGGACCATAACAAGTCAAATTTTTCATTTAAAAGGTGATATTAATCTCACCACCACCCCGGAAATAAAATAGTTATTAATACAAAGATACTTGTAAAATGTATTTTAATTTTAATAGTTTCTGTTCTAGTCACTGTCATGTTTTCAATACAGAAGAAATCGGATAATAAAAGAAAAAAATATTAAAAATAGAAATCCTGAATTCTGGTCCGGATCCACCCTGACACATATATATGAATACTTAGTCAGCACTTAGAACTTCCTGGTCGTCCGAACTACATTTCTGTGGGAGAAAATATATATAGAGCCAATCTGTGTCCACATTAGACCATGCCAGTAAGTATTCCAGAAAGTGAAATGCTTCTACAGTCCTACTTTTTACTTCTGTTGCAACTTTAGTTGTTTTATCAGCGAAAGTTCAGAATAATCATCAGAGTTGATGAACATATCAGTGTATAAATATCGATCGCTTATCATCCATATTTATTGTCTGTGTTATATGCTGGTAAAGTATGGTAGGTAGTTTGTATGGGATAACAATTCCTTAGCCCTCTAATTATGTACCCGGTGTCCTTGGCTAGTTGTTAGGGCCAATCTGAGCCCATTCAGTGGCAATAAGCTAGAGAACGTAACAACAGCGTGACACGTACTGGATATAAGCCAGCTAGATGGTCACTTTTTACCTGAATTACAGCTAGGTTCTGACACAGGGCATATTTTTATAGGATTTTGACAAAAACACTTTTTTTGCATCAAAACATTCACCAATATTTATTTGTTTTTCCCTGGTATATTATAATGTTTTCATTTTGAGCTTTTGGCGACCACTGGCATGAATCCTGATGGGTGAATGATAAGTACTACCTTAGAAAGTGACGTGCAGATTGTAGATCGGGATTTTATATACAGTACATATACGTTTTGTTTCTTTGTTACTATCTGACAAGAAAATTGAATAAGTTAAATGTGTGGTTGTAGGAAGATTTTATGTTGACCTTGAATGTCATTACAGATAAGTAGTGCTTGTAGTATGAATGACATTTTGTCAATGGGTCCAACACTACTGAATACAGATTGTAAGAAGTGAACAAAAAAGTAAAAAAAGTCTTCTGATAATTTGCATAGTTCTGTTGAAGAAGGACTAAACATTCAAGCCTGTGTATTTTGTATTCGACTAGCCTTGTTGAGTTGGAGTAACTTGCACTAGTCTGAGCGACTGTTTTCTCCTAGAACTGTTTCATTCTGTCAAGCTGATTAAATAGGTAACAACTTTCTTCCTATGTAAGTTTTAGTTCCTTTATTTCAGATTGAATCCTGACGATAACCATGACGGATTGCCAGGAGAATGAGCGGATGTCTGTGCTCCTGTCAACATACCTGGAAAGGAAGTTTACCGGCACAAAGGAGGAGGTGGACATCTTAAGGAGAGCATTGTTCTTACAGGGACACTTAAGCAATTTGGACCAGAATTCAGTTTATGGCATTCTATGTGGTAGTCTTGGTGAGGGACTGTGTCTGAAGAGTTCAGATGCTGATGAAATGGTTTCAGACAGGCATGTTGTAGTAATGTACCCAAATCAGAGCATTCCTTCACACCTGGCAAACAAAACCATCCTGTATATGAGACAGGCAGACTGCCGCCCTGGCTACGTCAACTTACAGCTGGCTCATATACCAGACGAATGTAACAGACTATTATTTAATTCATTTGTTCCACACCAGAACTCAACATTTGTTTCCAGTGATATCTACAGAGAGCAATGGGTCAGTTACATGAATCAACACACCGGTTGGAAATACGAATCCAATGGGCCTAGCTGTACGACATCTTCACATTCACAAGATTCCGACTCGGTTCGTTCTTTTGTGTGCGACTGTTGGCCAAATGAGGCTAATGAATGGGTAACGCGTACACGTCTGTATGGATGGCCACAACAAGCCTTGATAGACAAGATTGTAGACAGAGGGTGTCACGTTGTTCCAGTCGGAGACAAATGTTCCGAGGACCCATCTTTACAATGGAGAATCTCATTTGCAACAGCAGAGAAATCCCTCATCCATTCCTTTAGTCACATCCAGTTTATGGTATATGCCTTGCTGAAATATTTTCTAAAACAAATTAAAGAAACATTAAAAGAAACCATCGGGGATGACGATATCTTGTGCTCCTACTTTTTGAAGACAACTCTTTTCCATGCAATTGAGAATTCCAGCCAAATGTTCTGGCAAGACAAACACTTGTTTTATTGCTTTTGGTTTTGCTTGAACATACTAATTGCATGGGTGCGGGCAGGATTCTGTCCCAATTACTTCATTCCAACCAACAACTTGTTCAAAAGGAAAGTACATGGACCATCGCAAAAGAAACTACTGGACGTTTTAAACAACTTCTATCAGATGAAATGGATGTGTCTTTCAGTTGGAAACTTCTTCAAACCCACAGTATGGGAGGATCTGTGTAATACCTCAATCCAAGCTCAGCTCGCGTGTCCTGTAACTGTTCAGGAAGCCGTCCTCCACCAGGACACACTGACTGTTTGTAATTTACGATCAGTAGTTGCACGAATCACCACACGAAGGATCATCAGGAAGGCGCTTCAGTTGTTATCAACAGCACAGTCCGATTTAGATGAAGTTTACACATACCACTATGCTACGATGAGTCTACAAAGACTTGCAATTCAGCAGGTTTATCCGGATCACACAGTTGCTACAGACAACAAGACCAGGTACAGGAGTCTAAGGAAATGTAAACACTGGATGATCCCCAGTGCTTTAATGGGCACAGAGCTATTACGCTTGGCAACTTTTCATTTTCTGACTGGAAATTACAGTAAGTCCCTGGAGATGTGCAAACAAGTCATGGAACTAGCATCGTACTACAGAACTGACACACTAACAAACAAGAGGCTCCACCCAGACCAGGAGGCAAAGTATAGACTTGAGCACCAACAACCGGGACACGCATCAGACAGACTCCCGAAAATATACACAAACTTCATATCCTTTGACAACAAAGACTTATGTCTTCCGCATCTCCGTCCAGAGCTGATGGATGAATTCTCATGCATTCTCGTCCCACCACTACCGTATGCGGTGTTCCTGTCTTTTCTGTGCTGTAACGCGCTCGGAGATACCAGAAGGCGTGATGCAGCATTACACCACCTGTTAGAGGTTCAGTATGACGAAGAACAAGGAGGAGATCAATTCTATATAGTTCACACTCTACTGGGGATCTGTTACCAAACTCTCGGGGACAATCACCGGGCTATCAGGGCTTACTGGGAGTCGGGACAATCAGAGACTGATTTTTATGAGTGGAATCTTGCCATTGAGAGGATAGCTGTGGTGTATCTATGTATGTATGTCTCAAAGGGGTCTGACAGAGGATAGCTGTGGTGTGTCTATGTATGTATGCCTCACAGAGGTCTGATAGAGGATAGCTGTGGTGTATCTATGTATGTATATCTCACAGAGGTCTGATAGAGGATAGCAATGGTGCATCTATGTATGTATGTCTCACAGAGGTCTGATAGAGGATAGCTGTGGTGTATCTACGTATGTATATCTCACAGAGGTCTGATAGAGGATAGCAATGGTGCATCTATATATGTATGTCTCACAGAGGTCTGATAGAGGATAGCTGTGGGGTGTCTATGTATGTATGCCTCACAGAGGTCTGATAGAGGATAGCTGTGGTGTATCTATGTATGTATGTCTCAGAGGTCTGATAGAGGATAGCTGTTGTGTGTCTTTGTATGTATGTCTCACAGTGGTCTGATAGAGGATAGCTGTGGTGTGTCTATGTATGTATGCCTCACAGAGGTCTTACAGAGGATAGCTGTGGTGTGTCTATGTATGGATGTCTCACAGAGGTCTGACAGAGGATAGCTGTGGCGTATCTATGTATGTATGTCTCACAGAGGTCTGATAGAGGGTAGCTGTGGTGTATCTATGTATGTATGTCTCACAGAGGTCTGATAGAGGGTAGCTGTGGTGTATCTATGTATGTATGTCTCACAGAGGTCTGATAGAGGATAGCGGTGGTGTGTCTATGTATGTATGCCTCACAGAGGTCTTACAGAGGATAGCTGTGGTGTGTCTATGTATGGATGTCTCACAGAGGTCTGACAGAGGATAGCTGTGGCGTATCTATGTATGTATGTCTCACAGAGGTCTGATAGAGGGTAGCTGTGGTGTATCTATGTATGTATGTCTCAGAGGTCTGATAGAGGATAGCTGCTGTGTGTCTTTGTATGTATGTCTCACAGTGGTCTGATAGAGGATGGCTGTGGTGTGTCTATGTATGTATGCCTCACAGAGGTCTTACAGAGGATAGCTGTGGTGTGTCTATGTATGGATGTCTCACAGAGGTCTGACAGAGGATAGCTGTGGCGTATCTATGTATGTATGTCTCACAGAGGTCTGATAGAGGACAGCTGTGGTGTGTCTATGTATGTATGTCTTACAGAGGTCTGATAGAGGATAGCTGGGGTGTGTCTATGTATGTCTGTCTGACAGAGGTCTGACAGAGGATAGCTGTGGTGTGTCTATGTATGGATGTCTCACAGAGGTCTGACAGAGGATAGCTGTGGTGTGTCTATCTATGTATGTCTCACAGCGGTCTGATAGAGGATAGCTGTGGTGTGTCTATCTATGTATGTCTCACAGAGGTCTGATAGAGGACAGCTGTGGTGTGTCTATGTATGTATGTCTTACAGAGGTCTGATAGAGGATAGCTGTGGTGTGTCTATCTATGTATGTCTCACAGAGGTCTGATAGAGGATAGCTGTGGTGTGTCTATCTATGTTTGTTACACCTCAAGTGAATTTCTAGTTATTTGATTGGTTGGGAGAAAATTAAACAAAAATCTCTGTCATCCTCCAAAAATACATTGGTTTTAAGGGGCGCGGGTGATGTTGCCATGAGACAGTGAGAAATATCACATGCACGAAAAATGTGCGTTCACCGCTTCGTTTCCCCACCGTGATGGTCACAAGAACGTTTGACGACAACAGTCAATTTTATCAAGCGCCGGTGCGATAGCGATTGTAAACAGCAGACTATCAACAAACAAGATGTCATTATCGAGGTTTGCTGCCATTTTTGAACTACAAAGACTTTTGGTGTAACAAAATAGATATGACATTCATTAGCAGATGACAGTGAATATTGTCAACCCTCAGCTGTGGTGTGTCTATCTATGTATGTCTCACAGAGGTCTGACAATATATCTACAACATTACTATTAGAGATAGTTTTCAACCGCATGTTTAAACCCACAATTTCCACAGAATTTATGGCGGAACTGCCTATCCTGTAGTCTTCAAATAAATATTAAAGGTACTAATTGATATTGAAGCAAATAAGAACATTTCTAAGATTTGATGTAGAATTGTTTGTCGATGAGTTTTCTGTCACACAGACTGATTGCAGATCATGTAAAATTTATTGTATAAAACATTAATTTGGCAATGGGTTGTTTTTGCTTTAGAGCCTGCTTAAGATGTACTTGCATACCAAATCTGGGTACACCAGGTGAAATAGTACAAAAGATATGCCCCAGACGGACGGAAGGATGGACAGAGTGCAAACCTAAAATCCCCTCCTGGGATATAGTGGGGTACGTTAATACTAATAAACATTTTGTCTTTTGGGACCCATCATCAGGGGGATCGAACAGACTTGTTTTAGCCCATGGCCTGCCGTATGCCAAATATGATCCACATTTCTTCGTCCGTATTTGGGGTATTTAGTTATTTCCAAAGTTAACTGCCATGTCCTGTTTCTTCCTCATTTCTCCTCCCATCAGAGGGACCGCACCCTATATCTATGTAATATCAATCCAGGAAAGGTTAGATCCTTGCTCTATACCCAAGGAACAGTCTATTAAGGATGAACCCCCTTTATTTCCCCCTTTGGGCCCACATACTTCATCAAAATGCTCTATACCCAAGGAACAGTCTATTAAGGATGAACCCCCTTATTTCCCCCTTTGGGCCCACATACTTCATCAAAACATCATCATACATTTGTTGTACAGCACAGTACACACATTGATGGCCATACGCTTGAAAAAATGTGAATTGAGAATCATCAGTAAAGAGCACTGACCTCCAACTTCACTATAAATGATACTGTTGGAAGCACGGTCCCACTACAAACAGAACACAATACACCTCCAGCACACACACATAGGGAAATATTAGCCAAGTGGCATAGGACTAGTAGTTAGCGCCTGATAAGGCAGCTCCTGCGAATTCCTCAATATTGTATTGATTAATATATATGCTAATTGTATTGACTGTATAAAATTGTATATCTATGTACTGTAAAGTGCTTTAGAGTGGCTTATGTTAGCTAGATAGGGCGCTATATCAAATGTTGTGTATTGTTATTATTATTTATTATTATAGGAAAACTTTTGGGAATATGTGCTGTCAACCATCGCATACAACATGCTCAGCATGTTTGCATTTGTAACAAAATACTTAACTATTTCAGAAGCTGAGTTTCCTTTTCGTATGAGTAAAGATTTTCAATAATGTTCAATAAAATGTTAGTGTACCTCCTATTTTGTTAAGTTGTGTTTTGTAGTAAGCTAGAGTCGTATATAAACATGAGACTACTCACGGCTATGTCTCTATAAACAGCTATCGCCCTCTGGGTATCGCCACGATCAACGTGACTCTCCTGTAAAGAGAAGACACAAGTTAACTGACAAATTTCTGGCCATGATCAATGTGGTATAAAGGCTGTAAGACTTTGTAAAGTAAAAACATATTAGGTATAAAGGCTGTAGAACTTTGCAAAGTAAAAACATATTAGGTATAAAGGCTGTAAGTGTTTTCATTGTTGATAAATTATATGTCACATTGCATTGACGAGCTTAAATGAAGTTTCACAGTGATATAACTGTGATACCATTAATTAAGAACTATTCTAGAGTCAGAATCTGAAATCGTATTTAAAGAATTCTTTCCTGATATAATATGTAACTCATGGTGAATTTTTATCACATTTATCTTATTCTTGTTATGTACAAAAATACACTTGAGAAATCCTATGTCTATAAAATTTGAAAATTAGCTGTAGATAGATACACATAATTATAACAAATTACCACATAATGAGAACATTTATATATTTATAGCAATATGTTCAAAGAATTGGAGTTGACAATAAAGGAACATCTGCTGTGGGTATTGACTTCAAAGTTCCATTTTTTCTGTCAAGGATTTAAGAAATGTACTGAACATGTTAAAAGCAAAATGTCTGCCTGAACAGGTCTTTGAGTCATCACATTTCCCCTTCATACAATGGTCAAATTATCACAATAGTCTAATACCTTCTTAACTAAAACTGAGATGTCTCTACATCGTATTGTAACTTTGCTTACCTCCACATGACGTTCCAATTCCTTGAGCAAGCTTGGGTATTTGTCGAGGCGTGTGAACGGTTTGTATAAGTTAGAGGTCAAGGCCATGGCAGCATTTGTAGCTCCTATACTCTCCATAAACTTACTGAGGTCCTCCCTACAACACAATAATACAGTATACTCTCCATAAACCTACAGAGGTCCTCCCTACAACACAATAATACAGTATTCTCTCCATAAACCTACTGAGGTCCTCCCTACAACACATACACACAGCATACTCTCCATAAACTTACTGAGGTCCTCTCTACAACACATACACACAGTATACTCTCCATAAACTTACTGAGGTCCTCTCTACAACACATACACACAGTATACTCTCCATAACCTTACTGAGGTCCTCCCTACAACACATACACACAGTATACTCTTATACTCTCCATAAACTTACTGAGGTCTTCCCGACAACACATACACACAGTATACTCTCAATAACCTTACTGAGGGCCTCCCTACAACACATACACACAGTATTCTCTCAATAAACTTACTGAGGTCTTCCCTACAACACATAGACACAGTATACTCTCCATAAACTTACTGAGGGCCTCCCTACAACACATACACACAGTATTCTCTCAATAAACTTACTGAGGTCTTCCCTACAACATATACACACAGTATACTCTCCATAAACTTACGGAGGTCCTCCCTACAACACATACACACAGCATACTCTCCATAAACTTACTGAGGTCCTCCCCACAACACATACACACAGTACACTCTCCATAAACTTACTGAGGTCTTCTCTACAACACATACACACAGTACACTCTCCATAAACTTACTGAGGTCCTCACTACAACACATACACACAGTACACTCTCCATACACTTACTGAGGTCTTCCCTACAACACATAGACACAGTATACTCTCCATAAACTTACTTAGGTCCTCCCTACAACACATACACACAGCATACTCTCCATAAACTTACTGAGGTCCTCCCCACAACACATACACACAGTACACTCTCCATAAACTTACTGAGGTCTTCCCGACAACACATACACACAGTATACTCTCAATAACCTTACTGAGTTCCTCCCTACAACACATACACACAGTATTCTCTCAATAAACTTACTGAGGTCTTCCCTACAACATATACACACAGTATACTCTCCATAAACTTACGGAGGTCCTCCCTACAACACATACACACAGCATACTCTCCATAAACTTACTGAGGTCCTCCCCACAACACATACACACAGTACACTCTCCATACACTTACTGAGGTCTTCCCTACAACACATTAACACAGTATACTCTCCATAAACTTACTAAGGTCCTCCCTACAACACTAACATACAGTATACTCTCCATAAACTTACTGAGGTACTCCCTACAACACATATACACAGTATATACTATAGTCTAATACCTTCTTAACTAAAACTGAGATGTCTCTACATCGTATTGTAACTTTGCTTACCTCCACATGACGTTCCAATTCCTTGAGCAAGCTTGGGTATTTGTCGAGGCGTGTGAACGGTCTGTATAAGTTAGAGGTCAAGGCCACGGCAGCATTTGTAGCTCCTATACTCTCCATAAACTTACTGAGGTCCTCACTACAACACATACACACAGTACACTCTCCATACACTTACTGAGGTCTTCCCTACAACACATTAACACAGTATACTCTCCATAAACTTACTAAGGTCCTCCCTACAACACTAACATACAGCATACTCTCCATAAACTTACTGAGGTCCTCCCTACAACGCATACACACAGTACACTCTCCATAAACTTACTGAGGTCCTCCCCACAACACATACACACAGTACACTCTCCATAAACTTACTGAGGTCCTCCCCACAACACATACACACAGTACACTCTCCATAAACTTACTGAGGTCTTCTCTACAACACATACACACAGTACACTCTCCATACACTTACTGAGGTCTTCCCTACAACACATAGACACAGTATACTCTCCATAAACTTACTTAGGTCCTCCCTACAACACATACACACAGTACACTCTCCATACACTTACTGAGGTCTTCCCTACAACACATTAACACAGTATACTCTCCATAAACTTACTGAGGGCCTCCCTACAACACATACACACAGTATATTCTCCATAAACTTACTGAGGTCCTCCCTACAACGCATACACACAGTATACTCTCCATAAACTTACGGAGGTCCTCCCTACAACACATACACACAGTATACTCTCAATAAACTTACTGAGGTCCTCCCTACAACACATATACACAGTATATACTCTCCATAAACCTACTGAGGTCCTCCCTACAACACATACACACAGTACACTCTCCATAAACTTACTGAGGTCTTCCCTACAACACATACACACAGTATACTCTCCATACACTTACTGAGGTCTTCCCTACAACACATACACACAGTATACTCTCAATAAACTTACTGAGGTCCTCCCTACAACATAAAAATACAGTATACTCTCCATAAACTTACTGAGGTCCCCCCTACAACACATATACACAGTATATACTCTCCATAAACCTACTGAGGTCCTCCATACAACACATACACACAGTATACTCTCCAGAAACTTACTGAGGTCCTCCCTACAACACAATAATACAGTATACTCTCCATAAACTTACTGAGGTCCTCCCTACAACATAAAAATACAGTATACTCTCCATAAACTTACTGAGGTCTTCACTACAACACATACACGCAGTATACTCTCCATAAACCTACTGAGGTCCTCCATACAACACATACACACAGTATACTCTCCAGAAACTTACTGAGGTCCTCCCTACAACACATATACACAGTATATACTCTCCATAAACCTACTGAGGTCCTCCATACAACACATACACACAGTATACTCTCCATACACTTACTGAGGTCTTCCCTACAACACATACACACAGTATACTCTCAATAACCTTACTGAGGTCCTCCCTACAACACATACACACAGTATACTCTCCATAAACTTACTGAGGTCCTCCCTACAACACAATAATACAGTATTATCTCCATGAACTTACTCAGGTCTTCCCTACAACACATTCAGAGTAGCTATCTTCATCTTAAAACTTTCACTGAGAGAACAGATTAATATTTATACACAAATCAATATCTAACTAGTGCTAAAGGAAGCTACAATCTGGTCAGCTACATCTATTCTTCAATATTAACCCTGATCAGGCTCCTCTCCTTAATTGGTTCCTTGGACCAAATGTATTTTTTTACCAAATCAAATAAAAATTGTGACTCTTAGTTTTCAAAATGTACCTATTTTCTGATTGTCTCCTTCCCCAAATTGGGTTACCATCTTCAGGTAAAACAAAATTGCATCCCCTTTAAAGGAAATTCTCTTTTGACTTGTCTTTTTTTAAACAAAAAAATTGAGTCACCATGCAATTTGACCTTTATCCAGAGGAACTAAAATTAGAATCAGTTTCTGAAAGTTAGTTTGCAGAAAGCTCATGTTTATGAGCACCGTTCATCAAAGGTACAGAGATGGTATTGGAAGTTTGCACTTTCCAAACTTCACAATCCTAAAACACAGCTTTCTCTCAATATGCAAACAATCATAAGGGGTTTTGCCAGCTATTTTGGGAAAGGGCCCCCTGAGCAGGAAATGGGAAAATATCATCAGCATTTGGTAAAAATTTGGAAATTTCATCAGTGTCCCCACATGTACAGGTTATAGGGAAAATGTCAGTTTTGATAAAATAAATTCTACCATGTGATTTGCAAAACGTTTTCTTCTAGCTGTTTCTGACATTGAAATGTATAGCGATAAACAAACACATCAATTTCCAGTGATTCTGTTGATTCTATTTCAAACTTTTGTTAATTTTTGTACATTTTTGTATTTTGAATGCTCCTTCATAGATGGTTATACTTTGAACGTTGCACATATAATGACTGGAAATTTGTATAAACATGCTTTTGAATCCAATGGGGTAAATAAAGACTGATTTTGGGAAAATACAGGGTTATTTTTCAATTGGGAACGGGTCCCTGTACTGGATTCTATAAACACCCTGCAAAAACCCTGATCCTGATCAACAAGTGTTATAGTATACAGGTTACGCGTTGGTATGTCGCGAACCGACATAGAACTGAAGTTTGGTTTAGAGGGTTCTTACCGTTTGTTTTGGAGGATGGCCACAGCACGAGGGTGGTTGGCGCAGTAGGCGAGGTACAGCTCCTTGAGTCGTGGGGCGTGCTTCATAAACGCCCCTCCTACTCGTCGTTGATGGGGTGTACATCTACAACACAAAGACAATGAAAAGTGATGTCCATAGAAGTCAATACTGAAATTTATTACAAAAACTGATGTCCATAGCAGTCAATACTGGATTTTTACTACAAATACCCAGAGTCCTGGGGTGACTTATACATGTCCTGCCTTCTAGTACTTTATGGGGAGTACATCTATATCACAAATACCCATCTAGGACTTTATGGGGAGTACATCTATATCACAAACACCCATCTAGTACTTTATGGGGAGTACATCTATATCACAAATACCCATCTTGTTCTTTATGGGGAGTACATCTATATCACAAATACCCATCTAGTACTTTATGGGGAGTATACATCTATATCACAAAAATGAAGGACAGTGAGGTCCGAGGTGACCAGTACTGAATCTGTCTGTTTAAGTACTGTATACCAGGAACTTTTCGCCCAGTCGAATATTCACCCTTGGCCGATCCATGTTCGTCTGGTGTAGGTTTTGTCATTCACATGTCATTACTATATATAGTATGTTGTGTACTAATATTGGCTGTCATGATGACTTCACCCCCATTGGGTGTAAAAGGCGAAAATTAAATGAGACGAACATTTCTCGGTATACAGTAACTTTTGACACCGACTATGATTTTTATCAAATTTTATCTCCATACCACACAGTACTTTATCCATGATAGTTACAAAAGCTGCGGAAACCAAGTCCTAAGAAAAGGGTTCAAAGTTCAATACGGCGCTTACTCCTGAGCTTGACTGGTATATATAGGTATATAGATATTGGTCTTGTAAAATCTGGTTAATTATTTATATCAAGTGGTTAAATACCAAACATAACACATAAACATCTCTGTGAATAAATATTTGAGAGATAGTTCGAATCATGATCCAATATCCTTGCAAATTAACACTAAAATATATACCCCCTGAAGTATACCACAAATGAGTTATGTACCTCACAACTAAAACCTTCATGAAATATACAGTAAATGACTTACATTAAGTGAAATAAAAGTAAAAGATAATTCACTTTTTTTTTAACAAAACTTAATTTTTAATCATTAGCCAACATCTATAATACAATATTACTGTTTGGAGGGTTTAACTAACATTATATACATATCAATCATTATGAGTCTGACCAAGGTCTTTAAATCCGGTTTGGAATAAGTTGTAGATGTGTGGTCAGTTTTCTTGACCTGGAGCAGCCCTTATCACCTGTTCAGAAACACCTTCATTACAGAGAGTTCCTTGTCATTACCAATATATCCAACTTAAACTACTAGCACTACCTGATTTTTTTTTACTCCATACCTTTTATAAAACTAAAGGTCATTCATTTGAGCAAACTTGGTATCCCACCATCCCAGCATGTTACTGGCCAAATATCATCAACCTAGCCCTCTCGGTTATTCAGAAGAAGTTGTTTAAAACGTTTTTAACATATATTGACCACTGTGACCTTGAATATAAGTCAAGGTAATTTATTTGAACAAACTTTTCATGACAAAATTCAAACACCTTTCAAACACTTCCAAATTTTCTAGGTCAAAGTTTTCTGAAAAGGAGTTAAGAATTTCGTTTTTGACCGAATGGACACAATTCCATAGCACAATTTAAAATGAAACACAACAGATTTAAAATATTTAGCTATATTTTCTGAATAATTTAAACTAACATGAAAGTTTGGAACAGTCCTTCAATGAAATAAGGAAATCATGTTGATTGTGTCCAGTACACATATTCCAGCACTATTAGCTTATTCACCCCTGAAGACACATTTGAACTCTTCCAATACAAAGGTTGGAATGGTTCATAATGAAATATCAGGGGTGAATGAGTTAAGCACATTTCAAAAGCTGTACATGGCTGTAATTTAATGCTAGAGTATGATACTGACCGGGGTGTGTGTCTCTATGTCGGGTATACTACAGGCCTAATTTAAATTTCCAGACAGTGGAATTAGCTTACAAAAACATTCAATATTTGGAACCAAAATTTTGCAGACATGAAATTAGCTGCTGAATGTTTTAAAAGCTTCATATTGAAATGTTTAACGCCTTATAATTAGCTTCATGAAACTATTCCCTATATTCACAATGATTACAAACAAAGTACATGTGCTGGTAGTTGTGTCCAATCAATGGCCTAGATATATCAGCCTCATTACCATTTACCTATCAGTTTGGCAAGTGTATCCTAAAATACCTGAGCCCTGGGTAAAACAGCACATATGTAGTACAATGGGAGATGGGCTGTATAATTGGCCTCGTTATAAACAGTGTGGGATGAGTAATTAGTTGGCCTCGTTATAAACATGAGAGGTGTAAATCAGCTGATGTGTACGTGATGGGTGGTTAGGATACATAGATCTACAATAACTGTCTGGTCTACACGGGGTGGGGGTGGGTTGGGGGTGGGGGGGTGGTATGAAGCCCACTTCATAATTGAACTGATCCTACCAATAACCATCACATGGAAACAACTGTTTGTTACATATAAGCCCTAATCTGGGAATAAGCCTCAGATCGGTTCATAACTGCCTTATTGATGAATTAACCCTTATTACAGACGATGGAAAGTAAAAGGAGAGATGGTATGGAACCCAAGGTTATTCCAGATAATTTTTGGAACAGCATTTTGAAACCTCTTACCCTACTTTTCTCTGGTTTTTCTTTTCTTTAATATTCTTGTAATTAAACATACCACAAAATTAAAAAAAAATATGCTTATTGAAAAATCTAACAATTTGAAAGATTTTTTTTTTTTTTTTCCATATCATTAAAGATTTGGGGATTTGGGAATTTTTTAAAAATGACATTGTATGGAACATATTTAAACCTCAATCTTTAAAGGCTGAATTTCAGCCCTCAATTTACAGACAAAAATATTCTTGAAATTGATGCCAAGGTAATATGGCCCTTCCCTTGTGTAAGTGTGCCCCACACTCTGTGTTGGACAAAGAGCATGGGTACACGGAAAATATTATTATAAATCTACATGTGGTATCAGTAAACAAAAGTACCAAACTGTACAAGTGATCATTTCAGGTAGCTAGTCCTATTGATAAAGAGGGGAGGGATGACCCGAACTCTGCGGTACACCACAAGTAGCTATCTGTCCTATTGATAAAGAGGGGAGCGAAGACCCGAACTCTGCGGTACACCACAAGTAGCTATCTGTCCTATTGATAAAGAGGGGAGTGAAGACCCGAACTCTGCGGTACACCACAAGTAGCTAGCTGTCCTATTGATAAAGAGGGGAGCGAAGACCCGAACTCTGCGGTACACCACACTGACCACGGGTAGCTAGTCCTATTGATAAAGAGGGGAGTGATGACCCGAACTCTGCGGTACACCACAAGTAGCTAGCTGTCCTATTGATAAAGAGGGGAGTGAAGACCCGAACTCTGCGGTACACCACACTGACCGCAGGTAGCTAGTCCTATTGATAAAGAGGAGAGTGATGACCCGAACTCTGCGGTACACCGCAGGTATCTAGCTGTCCTATTGATAAAGAGGGTAGTGATGACCCGAACTCTGCGGTACACCGCAGGTATCTAGCTGTCCTATTGATAAAGAGGGTAGTGAAGACCCGAACTCTGCGGTACACCACAGGTATCTAGCTGTCCTATTAATAAAGAGGGGAGTGAAGACCCGAACTCTGCGGTACACCACAAGTAGCTAGCTGTCCTATTGATAAAGAGGGGAGTGATGACCCGAACTCTGCGGTACACCACAGGTATCTAGCTGTCCTATTGATAAAGAGGGGAGTGAAGACCCGAACTCTGCGGTCCACCACACTGACCACAGGTAGCTAGTCCTATTGATAAAGAGGGGAGTAATGACCCGGACTCTGCGGTACACCACACTGACCACAGGTAGCTAGACCTATTGATAAAGAGGGGAGTGATGACCCGAACTCTGCTGTACACCACACTGACCACAGGTAGCTAGTCCTATTGGTAAAGAGGGGAGTGATGACCCGAACTCTGCGGTACACCGCAGGTATCTAGCTGTCCTATTGATAAAGAGGGGAGGGAAGACCCGAACTCTGCGGTACACCACACTGACCACAGGCAGCTAGCCCTATTGTTAAAGAGGGGAGTGATGACCCGAACTCTGCGGCACACTGACCACAGGTAGCTAGTCCTATTGATAAAGAGGAGAGTGATGACCCGAACTCTGCGGTACACCACAGGTATCTAGCTGTCCTATTGATAAAGAGGGGAGTGAAGACCCGAACTCTGCGGTCCACCACACTGACCACAGGTAGCTAGTCCTATTGATAAAGAGGAGAGTGATGACCCGAACTCTGCGGTACACCACACTGACCACAGGCAGCTAGTCCTATTGATAAAGAGGGGAGTGATGAGGGGAGTGATGACCCGAACTCTGCGGAACACCACACTGACCACAGGTAGCTAGTCTTATTGATAAAGAGGGGAGCGATGACCCGAACTCTGCGGTACACCACACTGACCACAGGCAGCTAGCCCTATTGTTAAAGAGGGGAGTGATGACCCGAACTCTGCGGCACACTGACCACAGGTAGCTAGTCCTATTGATAAAGAGGGGAGCGATGACCCGAACTCTGCGGTACACCACACTGACCACAGGCAGCTAGCCCTATTGTTAAAGAGGGGAGTGATGACCCGAACTCTGCGGCACACTGACCACAGGTAGCTAGTCCTATTGATAAAGAGGAGAGTGATGACCCGAACTCTGCGGTACACCACACTGACCACAGGTAGCTAGTCCTATTGTTAAAGAGAGGAGTGATGACCCGAACTCTGCGGTACACCACAGCTTGCTTCCAAAAGTAGTCGTATACTTACTTTGCACATTCTTCTAATGAGTTGAGAAAATTATTTTGGAATGCAACAATTTCTTCAAGGTTTCCCACTAATTGTAAATATTCTGTCGGCGTTAATCTGGGAAAAAAGATATAAAAAAATACAAAAATAAAGCATTTAATACAAAGGTGCTACTACTCATTATAACTGTAAGACTGACACTAAATCCTAAACACTTTAGTCTTCAATCTATTATACAGTCCCGTATCAGGATTGCGGATATTTATGAAATTCTGCATGATATTGTCAAGAATCTGCGTTCTCGACATTTGACCATTTTAACTGAAAGGTAATTTATCCTTAGAAAGCATTTTGAGCAGGAAAGCCTTGTGTGGTGTTCATTATCCCAAAAGGACAAATAGAAATTATCATGATTTCTTATGCATAAATGAAGAGATTAGCAATGCATACACTCTTCATTAAAATTTTCCATCTGATCAGGCACCACTGAGAAGTAATTCCAATCATGCCAGTCATTTTGTTTTTTTATTATTGAAGTGTTTCAATACGTACATGGTAGAGCCCTGTATGGGCTGTATGTGTTTCAATACATACATGGTAGAGCCCTGTATGGGCTGTATGTTTCAATACGTACGTGGTAGAGCCCTGTATGGGCTGTATGTGTTTCAATATGTACATGGTAGAGCCCTGTATGGGCTGTATGTTTCAATACGTACGTGGTAGAGCCCTGTATGGGCTGCATGTGTTTCAATA